ATAGCAATATCAAATAAACTCAAGACAAGCAATTCAAACATGCGCAACTCATGCCGAGGTCATACGGCCGATCCAACATAAATGTAAATTGTGCACTACCGAGGGTCGAGCGGCACGAACCATAGATGCATCTATTACCCCGCTCGCGAATCATACATGCGACGCGGTCAAATTTAAATAAACATACACCCTGCTCGTGAACCATACATGCGACGCAGGTACACATAGAAATACATGCTCAAACAGCAAATTAAAAATTTTACGGGGAACATTTATCCCATTAAAAGCTAATTCTCTTTTGATGATTTAGGAAATAAAGTTTAATCCTCTTAGAAATTCATTTACCAATTCGATAGGATTTAAGAGATTCAACTGTCAATAAGATTACAATTATTTCAAGTATAGCATGCTTTTGGGTGCTAGACTACCCGGACTTACACATATTAGTAGCTACGCACGGACTCTCGTCACCTCGTACGTACGTAGCCCCACAAATAGGAGCACTTAATCAATTATTTCACCTATGGGGACAATTCCCTCTTACAAGGTTAGAAAGGAAACTCACCTCGCTCCGAAGATCCATAACCGGCATTCCACGCCCTTCAGAAGACTTGAATCGATGTTAAATACTCCCAAAACTCATGCTTGGTGGTGAAAATGGCACCTCAAAGTTGCTCCATATCGGCTCCAATTGAAGAAAATGGGGTTGAAATGAACCCAACCCCCGATTTAAAAGAACCTCACTGCCTCCAGCATTTCCGCATCTGCGGTCAGGGGACCGCATCGGCGGTCCCGCATCTGCGAAAAATGGACCGCATCTACGAAATGGGCCAAAAGAGCAGGAACCGCTTCTGCGTCTTGGGAGTCGCTTCTGCGGTTCCTGGCCTGGCCTGCCCTGGGCCGCTTCTGCGATGGAAGGACCGCATCTGCGGTCTCGCACCTGCGGTCCACCAACCGCAGATGCGGTTATGATAGAAGCAGCAGCTTCAACACTTCTCAAAATTTTATTTTCGATCCGTTAACCATCTGGAATCCACCCGAGGCCCCCGGGACCCCATCCAATCATACCAACCAGTCCCAAAACACATTACGGACTTGCTCGAGGCCTCAAATCATATCAAACAACGCTAAAACCACGAATCGACCTCCAATCCAAACTTTTTGAACTTTAGAATCTCAAACTTTTACTTTCGATGTTTAAACCCATCAAATCACGTCCGATTGACTTCAAATTTTGCGCACAAGTCATACTCGACATTACGACCTACTCCAACTTTTGGAATCGGATTCCGACCCCGATATCAAAAAGTCCACCTCCGGTCAAACCTCTCAAAAACCTTCAAATTTCTATCCTTAGCCAAATGGCTCCAAAATGTTCCCTGGACATCCGAATTCACTTCCGATCGCGCTCCCAACTCCAGAATCACCATGCGGAGCTACTCCCAGACTCGGAATCCCAAACGGACGTCGATAACGCTGAAATGCACTTCAACCCAAACTTATGAAATTTCTTCCAAAATGCTAACTTCCACAATAGGTGCCAAAACGCTCCCGGGTCACCCAAAATTCGATCCGGGCATATGCCCAAGTCCGAAATCATCATACGAACCTACTGGAACCTTCGAATCCCGATTCCGATGTCGTTTACTCAAAAATCTAATCCTAGTCAATCCTCTCAACTTAAAGCTTCCGAAATGAGAATTTACTCTCCAAGTCAACTCCGAACTTCCCAAAATTTAATTCCGACCACGCGTACAAGTCATAATACCTGAATTGAAGCTGCTCATGGCCTCGAACTGCTGAACGGCGCGCTATCAAAACGACCGGTCGGGTCGTTACATCCAAATATTTGCAATATTCTCAACTTTAACAAGCATATGTAAAATATGCTTACATATATAACAATTATTTTTATTTTTATCTTTCGTAAATATCATTCTAGAATGGTTTATGATAAAAAAAATTTATCCGTTTTTCATGTTGCTTCTTGTCTTATATTTTGGAATAAATGTCAATTCATGTCTAATGTCCTCAATTTAGATTTAAAACTTTATTGATAGTTTTTTATCTTATAATACTAACAAATATCATAGTAATAAAAAAAAAGTAAAATTTGAACTTTCCACTCGCCCCAACGGTTTAGATACATACTGAAAAATACATATGGCAAAAACCATAATTAGGCAATATTTAAGAAAATTTTACAGACTTCCAGCAGCAATAAGTAATTAACAGATATGGCAACTAATTAACTACATTCCTAGCCGAAACCTATAATATTGGACCACGAATCACATTTCAGTTACTAAATTATCGGAAACAGTTCAATTTCTAATTAATTATATCCCATATTACACGCTTGAAACAAACTGGAATCTCAATAATTCCTTTCCATTCATAAGAGTTATTTACAAATAAACTTGGGATAAAGCATGTATAAAGCAATCAACAGTTGAGAAAACAATCAAATATTGAAATAATATATATTGAATATAATAGGTATATGATATATACTACCACTAAGAATTGAAAAGTAAGAACAATAAGATAAAGTATATTACAAGAAAATACTTTAAAATATTCATTAATATTTGAAGTGTATCCAAGCCGTTGAAAATAAGATCAATATAACACCAATGAATTTGGAATTTAGCAGGTATAATAACAATGATATAAAGTATTAATTGGAATATATGTTATACATATATTTATGGAATAATTCTGTTATATTACATATTTACTTGTCACTATTTCATTATATAATTGGTATAATTATAAACAATGTGGAATTGTTCTTCAATGCATTTATATTTCAATTATTCTGAATTTATCGCAAGAATATGACTTACACAGGATTAAATCTTAGTATATTGCATATATAATTAATATTTAGTTATATAAAAGGTATAATAATGGATAATTTTATTAAATATTCATGGGATTAATTATAGCATTTTAATTATACAAATAATAATTATATCATGTATATTGCATCCGTGTTTATGAATTTATTTAAAAAATAATTCTGGTATATTTACATAATAATTATGGTATTTATGTATTAGTAATATTTAATTATATAAATAGCACAAGTATACTCAACTTTTTTCTTCTTTTTTTTCAAGCACAAAGGGTAACAATTGAGGGCGGGAGAAATAAGAAACAGAGTAGTAAGAGAAAGAAGCTGGATGCTTAATTAGCCAAAAAAAAAATGAGGAAGAACGGACGTGGGGTTTGATTAATTATCTCATCAAATAATTAATCAATTAGGTAGCTTCAATCTTAAATCAAATGAGGTTAGTTATATTTAAGAAAACATAAGCTAGAAAATATATAGCAATACTCAATAGTCTTTGTTTTGTTTAACACCCTACTTATCTAACCACCACAGAAATAAAAAAGCAAAAGAAAGATTAGTTGTTATGAGAAATTTAACAGGTCAATTAATTGAATAACAATGGCAACTTGTATTGGACAACAACTCCTAGTGTATCGGCAATTTGATTTAGCACGTCGTTTCACACCACCTAGTATTTGAATATTGCATATAGTTTTTGAACTTTTAATTGCTTTGGTTTTCGTATGACGAAAATATTCGTCAAGATAAAATTATTTTTATCTTATTTACAATGTGGTATATCACGTCCCATTTACCTGTTGCCTACATTACCTATTGTAACATATAATCTTACTTCTTTTTAAAGAGTTCCTAATAAATATTTTTCGATTAACTTCATAGTACAAAATTTTACACTACCCGTCTACATAAGTTAAACTCCTTATTTATTAATCACCAAAGAATATGGTGCAGTGGATGGGACTGTCCTTCCATTAACCAGAGGTCTCGGGCTCGAGCCTTGGGTATAGAAAAGGGAAACTTACATAAATGTCCCAAATAAATCTCAATTTACCAACCTCTAGCCATTAGTCATAGACTTACCAAAACTAGCCAACAAAAATTGAAAAACCAAATAATAGGGTTCTTTCTCTCAAAGAATCACATGCAAAAATCACCTTCCATATTTTTAAGCGTGATTAGCAACATTAGATACAAGACGGAAAGGAAAATTCATGGACGGGGTAGAAAATAAGGTGATGAAATACAAAATCTATACAATATTCCAAAAATTTAAACAAAAAAGGAACTTTTTCAATGGGTATAGTTGAAATTCACTGAAAATATATAGATAAGTCAATATACAAAATTTGAGGAAGATTGGAGGTGATTTGGACTGGTTTTGTATCAAAATTCGTAATTAAATCGAGTTCAAAAAAGTCTTCTGCGACACATGTATCAAACATGTATCACGCATGTATCTCACACACAGGTATACATGGATATACATGTGATACACAATTGATACAAATATGATACATATGTGATACATAAATGATACATAGTGTGATACACATATCATTTTTTTTCATGTTCAGCTTTTACTTCAAATTTCCAATTTAAACCACCTCAAAACTTCACCAAATCATCCCAAAACTGAGACTCAAGCTCCTTAAGTTGTGCCCAATCTATTCTAATAACACCCGCTCAAAACAAAGCAAAAAATTAATATTTTTTTGCTACAAATAGCTAATTGGCTAATTTGGCTAATATTAGTAATATTTTATCAATTGACCAATTTTTGTAATGAGCTACTTATAAATGGACATAGCTGGTAATTTCCCTATAGAAGGGAAAATCTTTGATAGGGAGCGCTTTCCCCTGAATGGGGCCCTATGCAATACGAAGCCGAATATAATCGAGATCCAATACAAATACCGGATTACGGGTTACAAACCAAAAACTAACATCCTTATTTAATTACTCAGATTTGGCCAGTTGTTTTGCCCAGTCGACTTTATCTATTTTTTACTCAGATTCTGAGTCTTTTCACCAGTCATGAGTCATGACATAGTCAATAATCCAATCCTTACCATTATCTACCTCCTTTCTTGCCACCCACCCACCCTACCCCCAAAAACCCACGTATAAATATACCCTAAAGGTGACAAATTTAATCATTTAAACCAAAAAGAGACACTTTATCAACACCAACAGAAGAAGAAGAGAGCTAAAATTTGGATGGAGAAACCAAACAAGTCAAAGAAAAATATGATCTTGAAATTATTGCCAAAAGCAGCAGCAGCTGCTGTTATATTCCAAAATCATCCATTTAGTCCAGGCAGAGAAAAGAGATTATCACATCTTCATCATAATCACAAAGGATTTTCTGGTCCTATTTTAATTCCAGTAGAAGCTAGATCAAGAAAGTCAAATAATGAAACAACTCAAGAACCAACTTCACCAAAAGTTTCATGCATTGGTCAAATCAAACAAAGGAAGAAGAAAATGATTAAAACACCAAAGCCAGTGGAGAAAAATTCAGTTTCTTCTTTAGCTGAGAGTAATAAGAAGAAATCAAGATCCAATTTTCGGAATATATTTCAAAGAGGAGGGAGAAAATCTGATGCTTGTACTTCAGCTGATAATAATATTTCTAGTGATATTCAAAATAGAGTACCTTGTAATTTGAGTCAAATGAAAAAATTTGCTAGTGGTCGTGAAAGTAGTTTGTCAAATTTTGATTGGAAAAATGTGCAAATTACACCAGAAGATCATAGGAAATGTTATTCAGATGATGATAGATCAGACTATTGTGATGAAGATGAAGATGAAGAAGAAGAAGAGGTAATTATTCCATTTTCAGCTCCAATATTAGTAGGTAGTAGTAGAGATAGACCAAATTTTCCATTGGAGCCAAAGAAAGAAATTAATTTATGGAAAAGGAGAACCATGACCAAACCAAATCCTCTCCAATTGATGAAAAAATAAGGTTACATACTATATACGTTTTGTATAATTTTCTTTCTTTAATTTGTTGTTCTTGATTCATTTCAGTTTACTATTAGTTCACATATGTGGTTGTAATGTAAACTATGTTGCTCGAATTTTTTAAAGATTTCGATTTTACTATCTGATATATGATATTTTTAAAGAATTCGAGCAACAAATTGTAAATAAAATCCTACATTTAATATTATATGTGTATTTTCTTGAACTCTTGTATATATTCATACGATGATTCTATGATCCTTGTGGTTAGGGATAGAAGGGGTTCATTTGAATCTTTCAAATAATAACAATGTATGTATAAAGTTAACTCTTTATATAGGAAATTTTGCCTATATAAATAATAGATGATGAATTTTCTTAGTGAAAATTTTGCCTCGTTAATGCTTGGGGCCATGTTATTGAATCAAAATTGGAACAAAAAGTCGTCTACGATTCGTCCAAGGAAAGTATACAAAAAAGGATAAAAGAAGAATAAGCTGTTTAAATAAGACACGCAAAATATATGGATTTTCACATCTATCTACAGAATTGGTTGGTGGCAACCGCAATTACGCGGTCTCTGTCCAAGGGCCGAATAAGCAGCAATAATTGAATTTTGACCATAAATTTCAAATATATCTCCTTGTTCTTTAATGTAGAGCAGATACTTGGTTTCAGCAATGAAGAAGATATTTGAACTATATATATATATATATATATATATATATATATATATATATATATATATATATATATATATATATCCAAATTCACTCTTTTTTTTATATGNGCTTTATCTATAATTTTAATAATGTAAGATTGAAATAATATTCATGTAATAAAAAAACTCGAAAACCCGAAAAACCCGCCAAAACCGAACCAATCCAAACCGATATAATTGGTTTGGTTTGGTTTTGATAAAAATCAAACCAACCTGGTCCTTGTACACCCCTAGCGGGTACCGAACACGGGTGGAAAACCAAAAAAAAAAAAACTATAAAACAAACTTGTATATAAATTATGAGAGTAATATACAAGAAAGGGATGCATATAAATTATTGGAACCTTAGTTAATGTAACGTGGAAGTAGTTACTAACTTACTAGTACAATTTAATTGTTGCCTTGTATTTTAATTAAATAATTGATTTTTTATGTTTAGTTGGATGCAACACTTATCTCTGTATTTTTAACACTGGCATTAACCTAGGAGATGGAGTATAGTTGAATGTAAGTAGAGGCGTATCCAGAATTTTAAGCTTATGGGTTCGGGATTCTAATCTTTTTAAATTATCGGGTTCTAAATTAATAATTAGTCTATGTTTAATAAATTAAAATTTTAAGACAAATACATAATTTGAATCAAAGTTATTGAGTTCGACTGAACTTGTAACCGATATTGTGGCTCCGCCTCTGAAGGTAAGAGCTGGCAAAGTGGCAACTCTTTCTTTTTCTTGTGCATTTATCGATGTTTGGAATGGAAGAAGAAGAATATAGAATCTAATCCCAATTTTATGGGAAAACTTTGGGGATGCAAAGAAAGGTGATCTCGAAACTATTAGTACAGAGTTTTTTATTCGATCTCCTATTGACCCGCTTCAACTCATTTCCCATAGTTTTATTGACCATTTATAGCCGGCCACGGTATTCATAGATTATACATCGATTATATACGGTTATATACATATTAATATAGGAGTCCGTTTGGATGGGCTTGTTTTAAGTGACTTTTAAGTTAAAATAGCTTTTAAGCCATAAGTTAGGAATTCTAACTTTTTGCTTTCGGCTTGTTTTTGTCATTTTAGCTTAAAAACAAGTGATTAAAAGCACTTTTTTACTTTATCCGAACACTATAAAATGGCTTAAAAGCTATTTTAGCTTAAAAGCACTTAAAACAAGTCAATCCAAACGTGCTCTAGATTGTACATATGCTGGCTATTTTTTATTTTAAGTAGTTGGATGGACAGCTATTTAGATTAATTCAAGCCCTTTTTTTTTTCTAATGCAAGTTGGAATTAAGTACTGTTGAATTCTTTTCATCTAAAAAATATACTATATATTATTAAGAATAGATTAAATTATAAATTATTAAATTCTCTTGATATAAAAAATAATTCGATAGTCGCAAAGGGATTCAAAATTGCCTTAGGTCAATCAGACAAAAAGTCAGATTTTCCATTAATGATTCAAATTTGTTGAAATGTACTACTATTTATTATTAAATCAAATTTGGCAAATCTTTTCCAATTTTGGGCAACTCAATAAGAGTGTTTCCCTTATTATCTGATTATTCCTTAACTGCTTTCGAGCAGAAATTGTGATTCCGTAAACTGATCGAAGATTTTACAAATCAACCTTTGACCAAGATTTAAGATTTTCACACAATAATATGTACTATCGAGACTAGAATGAACTAAGTATAATCTTTTTTTTTGGTAATGAAGATATTTATTCCGCCCCGTTTAAGAGTTATTACAAATTGGGACTTTTCTAGGACACAAAGTTCCTAGCTTGTCCAGTTCAAAAGTAGAAGTAACAAAAGGGGGCGGGGAGAAGTACAACATAGGATTCCCAAAAAAATTCGAGTTACTTCCATGTTTTGCCATAATATCAGCCACACCATTCGCTTCTCTAAAGACGTGAGTGACTTGAGGCTCGCCCGCTCTAGTTAGCATCCATCTGCAATCAGTAATCAAATTTTGGTACGGACCATTTTCATTAGTAAGCATGTTAATTAAGAGATTGCAATCTGTTTCAACCACTAGACGTCTAATGTTTTGTTGTATTGTTATCTTTAAACCCTGTATAAGAGATAGGCCTTCCGTGAAAATGTTCGTAGCGTGATGAATAGACATGGTAAAGCCTATAATCCAATTACTGTCCCAGTCTCTGATAACTCCTCCAATGCCACCCCTCCCAGGGTTGCCTAAGCTAGATCCATCTATGTTTAATTAATAAATTCCCCGATCAGGTGGCTTCCATTTTATGTATATTGTCATCTTGGGGTTTGGACTTTGGAAAGATTCTGTTAACAACTTAAATTCCGTTGCGCTCTTAATGATGTTTTTTAAGGAGAGTGGAGATTTTTTGTTGTTAAATATGAAGTTGTTTCTGTGGGTCCATATATGCCAAAGGGTAAAGGGTAGAATATCTCCCTTAGATAAGAGTCTGTTAAATGGTGATTTATTGTGGCAAAGAGGTTTTAACCAGTTATGTATTGTTAGCTCATTGTGAGGTTGATTCGGGTATTTGTAAAAAGTTCCCAATTGGTCCCAAATAGGTTTTGAGTGCCTGCAGTTAAAGAACATATGCTCCATGTCTTCTTCTTCGTTTTGGCAGATGTTACAAATGCTAGAGGTAATGATTTTCCTATTATGTAACATTTTAGAGGTGGGTAACCTATTGTGGACAACTGTCCATAAGAAGGATTTTATTTTGTTTAAAGTGTCAAGCTTCCATAACCATGAAAAGTCAGTCCAGTTACCTACTTCTTGTGATTGTGCTTTGATAATGTTATAGGCAGTCTTTGTCGAGAAGGAGCCATTAGGACCTTCTGCCCAAGCAAATTTATCAACTGCCGGCTCACTTTGTTTAATATAAGTGCTAAAAAAATTTTTGCGGATGGTTTCAGGGAGTTCAAAGGATAGAGAGTTAATATTGAAGGATCCCTCCACTAGGATAGAACTTAGGGTTAGATTGGATTCGTTGCGGGGCAGAGGTCCTTGAATGAGGGAACGAAGGGGTCCTGAGTCTATGATCCAGGCGTCATGCCAGAGGTTAATGGATTCCCCATTCCCTACTTCCCAGTGTATGCCCTTTTCGCAGACTTCTCCTCCAATACAGATGTTTTTCCAGATATGAGTTCCTCTTTTTTTCTCCAGATCCTTCCATCTGGAGGGATTCTTATTGATGTTGTATCTGTTTTGAAGGACTTGAACCCAAAGAGATTGCTTTTCTCTTGTAAATCTCCATGCCAGGGTTGCATTGAATGATTGGTTTTTCCATTTTGCTTTATATAACCCCAAACCTCCTTCTTTTTTGTCCCTAGTTACTGTGTTCCAATTAATGAGGTGACATTTTCTTTTTTCAGATGTGCTTCCCCATAGGAAATTTCTTTGAATTGTATCAATAGTTTTCAGTGTAGATTTTGGGAGACTATATATTTGCATGATATGATTAGGGATTGCTGCAAGAGTGGATTTTATTAAGGTGGTTCGACCTGCTATGGTTAGAAGGTTTACTTTCCATCCCTGCAGTTTGCTATTAAGGCTATCAATGATAGGTTGGAAGTCTTTTTTGGTTGGGTTTGAGCTCAAGATTGGGAATCCTAGGTATTTTCCTATTTCATTCGATGTTTTCATTGAAAGACATTGACTGATGTAATCCTTGGTTCTGGAGGATGTATTCTTGGAGAACATTATTCTAGACTTGTTGAAATTAATGGNTATATATATATATATATATATATATATCCAAATTCACTCTTTTTTTTATATGAAATATTTTACTTTTATCATTCATTATAGTGATATTTACACAGAAATACATGTGAATAAAAACTTATAGTCAGGGACGGATCTAAAGGTATAAGTATGGGTTTTCGGGAATCTAGTAGATTTTGGCTAGACCCCGTATTTGTATCAAAAAAATCACATAATGTATAAGAATATTTAGTTGGGAAATCAGTTCTTTAATCTGGTTATCATAACATACAAATTTAAAGTCAATGTAGGAATACATAAATTTAAAATTCTGGATCCGTTTTTGGTCGTGGTAACATAAAAATATATACTCGTGATTTATTTCCTGCAAGGACATAAGACAAAAACGACTTTACAAAGTACTAAAAGTTGCAGACAGCGGAATCCTTTGACAGTCCAAGATTGATATATATCGTATGAATTGTGTGCCTTTTTGTAAGTTCATAGAATGAAATTGGCACTAATAAATATATTATAAAAATCAACAGATAATGTTGTAAAAGTCAATAACAATAATAGCTGCAGAACTCCTTATGCATATTAGGTAATGGCAACTAACCAGTGAAGTGTGTGCAGTGGATGAGACTGCTCCTTCTTTAATTAGAGGTTTCTGGTTTGAGCTATGGGTATGGAAATTTTTTTGGTAGGGAGCGTTCTCCCGGAATGGGGCCCTACGCGGCGCGAATACGAATATAGTCGGGCTCCAATGCGGGTACTAAGGGTGTTCAA